CCCTGGGTAGAGTGCCATGACATCACAGCTCACAGCAACCTCCAACTCCTGGGCTCAAGTGAGTCTCCTGCCTCAGCCTCCCAAGTAGCTGGGACTACAGGTGCCCGGCACAACGCCTAGCCATTTTTTGGTTGCAGCTATCATTGTTGTTTGGCAAGCCTGGGCTGGGGATTCGAACCCGCCACCTTAGGTGTATGTGGCTGGCGCCTTAGCCAGCCTTTTGATAATCCTTGATGCTCTCTATAAATTTTTAAATTATGTATGCTCCAAATCGTTTCTATTTTCTCTTCTCTTAACTTAAGGGAGTATTGGCTTGGCGCCTGTGGCTCAAGTGGCTAAGGCGCCAGTCACATACACCTAAGGTGGCGGGTTCAAATCCAGCCTAGGCCCGCCAAACAACAATGAGGGCTGCAACCAAAAAATAGCCAGGTGTTGGGGCAGGCGCCTGTGGTCCCAGCTACTTGGGAGGCTGAGGCAGGAGACTCGCTTGAGCCTCGGAGTTGGAGGTTGCTGTGAGCTGTGATGTCACAGCACTCTACCCAGGGGGACAGCTTGAGGCTCTGTCTCAAAAAACAAAAAACCCCAAAGACTTAAGGGAGTATTCTCATTAACAAAATTGTGGCCTTTTCTAGGTTTTGTATGTATCTTACATCTTAATCAGCAGACAAAATGTGAATGCTTATTGAGGCCTAATACTGCCACATTTCTAATACTGCGTACTTTTTGTACTATTACCTACAATACTCTTAGTTCGAACTCAATCCCCATTTCCTCCAATAACTTTCCTGAAGACCTCCAATGGAATGTCTTCAACCTCCACACATTCTGTTCAAACTTTATAGTACCTATCAGTCTACCTAAAATTGTAATTATGAATCTGTACCCATGATTGACTCTCCTATGTGTATACCTCGCCTGCCCACCAAACATCAGAGCACACTTAACACAGTAAGGCCCTGGTAATGGCTTACAGAACTGTACTGAGAAGGTAAAGCACTTAATTCAGTAGATATAAAAATAGGTTAGAAGCTGTTTTCAATTCTGCACATCCTTCCATAATCCTAATTTGCTCAATTGTAAAGTCAAAAATATAAAATATGCAGAAGTAAAACACGAAGCCTTGATAAAACTGATGTGATGCTCTCTGCATTTCCACACGTGGCTCAGTAAATCGCTGCCTGAATTCCCCTCTCAGCTTTCACCATTCTGCCCTGTCATTCCCTTTTACTCTACTTCATAAACCTCCCACACCGTAGGGTGTACCACAGACCACTTTGCGGAACTCGCTGTTTCTTTTTCTCATAGGGCCATATACCCCAAAGTATATTAGGTAACCGATTCTTTCTTGCCTTGCTTCTGTTCCGGTCTCAGTTGGCCACATTCACCAGAACATGAGTGGGCAACCATTTCCCTCTAACAGTCCCAACTAAAATGGAAGCGCGTCTAGACCTGGGCACCTTTAATCCTCTGTAAGCCCCAGAGTTTTTAGGTCACCGTATTTCCTCCACTAGCTACCGTCTCAATGTGACTTGCGATAGACATCAGTCTTCCAAGCGCAGTCTTTCCATAACTTTCCAGCCTTATGGTCCCACTACCCTGCACATGCAAACTACCTCGAAGGCATTAAGGTTGGTAGTTACTCCAGCGGTCAAGTTTTCCGAAAAGGGTTTGGACCCGGGGCAGTTATTTAAGCGGACCCCCAGATATTCTAACTTCCTTCCTGGAAACTGGTCTTCGCCACCCATCCTATACTTTCTGGGTTTCACCATTCCCCAAACAACACATCCACCTATCACCTTCTCCTCCACTTTGGGAGATGTGCCCCTCGGCTAACCCCGCTTTCCCCTTCCCAGCTGAGGCTCGGCGTGCCCTAGTTCGAGGGTCTGTCTCCTAGCCTGCCCACCGCACCAGCCCCTCGCCCCTATTCTACCGCTTCTCCTCCCCTACTCACTTTGGGTTTCTCAGGCAGTTTCTTCCGGTTCTTCTTCTTCTGCTCCTCGCTTCTGAGGTTCTTCAGCAAGGCCAGGTCGTCAGGAGCCACGGCCGGCGCGGCTGTCGCCTCCTCCCGTTTGCGGGGCGGGCTCCTTCGTTTCTTGCGGGCGCCGGCGCAAGCCGCGGCCCAACCGTAGCCCAGCAGTACCAGCAGGAGCAGCCCGAGAGCGCCCGTGCCCACCAGGATCACCCAGCCCGGGTACCGCTTCGGCTCCAGCCCTAGGTCGAGGCCCAGCTCGGTACGCAGAAAGCCTAGGCCAACCGAGAGCATTTCCCGCAGCCGGGCCGAGCCCTCCTCGGCCTGCTGGGCCAGCTCATCCTGCCAGCTCCGTGCAGCCATCTTCCCTCCTGTCACGGGTACTCGCAGGATGACGCTGGGGCGCGGAGACGCCGTGGACTAGTCAAGGGAAGCAAGGAGGGGCTGGGCCGGCAGCCTCAGGCCGAGCGCATCACGGCCGCCCCTCGCGCCAGAGCCGGGGATAGGCCGCTGTCGCCGCGGGGAGGGGAGAGGGGGCTCCCAGGTTCCCCCTAGTCAGCCTCACTCCGCTGCTGCCAGAAGGAGGGGGGCAGGCGGGAGGGAGTGTCTCCAGCGGCCGCCGCTAAGCGGCGTCTCCGCGCCAGCGCCAGGCCCGGCTGTCCTCCCCGGGCGGAACAATGGCGGCTCCGGCCGCGATCCACGCCGCGCGCGGGGATGATCGCGGATCACGTGGACTCCGATGGGCGGGGCGTGGGCGTCACGTGGCCGTGGGCGTGGTCGGGCGGGCAGGGTGGTGTTGAAGCAAAAGCGCGGTTGTTGCGGTTGACAGTAGCTCTTTGGGCCTGGTTGATACGCGGAGCCTGGGGACTGGTGACCCTGGACCTGGGACTGGGAGGGGTTGTGTGGGAGAAGCCTCCGCCGGGTGGCTGGTGGAGCGGAGCTAGGAGACGTGGCGCTCTGAATGAGTGTGGGGGCGGCCGGGGGGAGGAGTGTGAAGAGTGAGGAACCAGGTCACCGGGTCTAGGTCAAAGTCGACCCAGCAGGTGTAGGGCTTTCGTTCTTTTTCTGCAGTGGTGTTGGGATGGAAGTGGCTTTTTCTCCCTGGGGACGTTGGTCCGCTGGGTGCTTCTAGATTGAACTCAGCGAAGTCTGAACTGAAGCCGGACATTCTGATTGCAGGACCTAGGTTTAATTCACAAATTGGGTATTTCTCATCAGGACCAACTGACATACTGCGTGCTTGCCATTTGCCAGCCTGGTTAGGCGCGTTCATTGATTCATTCTTTCTCCTCAGTGTTAATCCCCACTATTCACAAGTTGGAAAGCTGGTGGGCGGCTCTATTCATTTGTAGCTTTAATAAGAAATAAGAGGAAGCACATTAGATTGTATTTACATGTAGAGGTAGCTTTTTCGTTGCGTTTTATTTTAAGCTTTTATACACCGCAAAAAGAGTTTTACAAAATCCTATTTTTATATTCTGTGCTGACCATCTGTGGGATGCAGCGGTAGGAGGAATGGTATTGCCTTTTCAGATTTTAATCACAAATAAAATGGAGGGTGCTGGTGGGTTTTAAAATTCCATTTTTCTGCAAGAAAACTGTCTTATTATTAAATGATAATTAGCAAACAAATGTCTTTTTTTTTTGAGACAGAGTCTCACTATGTCGCCCTGGGTAGAGTACCTTGACGTTACAGCTCACAGCAACTTCCAACTCTTGGGCTTAAGTGATTCCCTTGTCTCAGCCTTCCAAGTAGCTGGGACTACAGGCCCCCGCCACAACACTGAGCTATTTTTTTGTTACAGTTGTTAATTGGTTTTTAGCTGACCTGGGCCCAGTTCGAACCGGTCACCCTTGGTGTATGTGACTGGTGCCGTAACCACTGTGCTACGGAGCGCCGAGGCTTAAATAAGTGTCTTAATTGAACTAAATATGGGCTTTCGCAAAGAATATGACACGGGTAATATTAGCACTGAATGCCAAATATGTATTAGGAAGTATCTTGATCTACTTTCCAACGGTGTTGTAATGCATGCTGTGATTAATGGGTAGAAGGGAGTTTTGTAAATAATAAATAGTAAAAATAAACTACTCTTGCTAAGTTTTATACAAGCTTATAATTATAGACTACATTACAAGGCCAAAAACTTAGAATATCAGAACCTGCTTTAACTCTTAAAATTTCTAAATTACCTTTATATTTGTGAAATAGGTTTATAATCTTGCCTGTATATTTTGGTTCCAGAGACATGAAGGGTAATGAAATTCTACGAAGTTCCACTGACTATTCTAGATTAACACCTGTGGACTTATGAATTATACTTTTACAGTAATTATAGTGGGATATCCAGTCCCTTTGGTAGATTAGTAATTATCGATTCAGTAAAATCAATCACCTTTCTTTTTTTCTGTGACCGTCCTTAAATCTTAAAAATAAAAAGACAAAAATATGGTTACTGTATTTGTTAATACAGATAAACTCATTTTTCTTTCTCTCTTTTTTTTTTTTTTGAGTCAGAGTCTGAAGCTGTCACCCTGGGTAGAGTGCTGTGACATCACAGCTCACAGCAACCTCCAACTCCTGGGCTCAAGCGAGTCTCCTGCCTCAGCCTCTCAAGTAGCTGGGACCACAGGCACCTGCCACAAAGCCTGGCTATTTTTTGGTTGCAGCTGTCATTATTGTTTGGCGGGCCCAGCGTAGATTCGAACCTGCCACCTTAGGTGTATGTGTCTGGTGCCTTAGCCACTTGAGCCACAGATGCCAAGCCTTTGCTTTTTTTTTTTTTTTTTTTTTATTTGAAACAGAATCTCACTATGGGCCCTCGGTAGAGTTCTGTGGTATCACAGTTCACAGCAACCTCAAACTCTTGGGCTTAAGCAATTCTCTTGCCTCAGCCTCCCTAGTAGCTGGGACTACAGGAGCCCACTGCAATGCCTGGCTATTTTTTTGTTGCAGTGGTTGTTGTTTAGTAGGCCCAGGCCTGGTTTGAACCTGCCAGCCTCAGTGTATGTGGCCGACACCCCTAACCACTTATCTACAGGCACTGGGCCCTCGTTTTTCATATATAACTTTCTTGTCATCTTTCCACGTGTTTACATTTTAAAAACAAAATGGAGTCATATTTACTATTTACTGACTTGCACTTAATATGGTCCTGAACATGCATGTCAACTAATAAAGCCTATCTAATAAAACCCACCATGAACACACCTATAGTCCCACAAAGTTAGCTTTATTCATTTGTAGCAGGGTGGAGTTTAGGTAAAATTTAAATGAAGCAAAGCTTTGAAAGGCTCAAAGCAAAGAATGTAAAGGAGTTAATATCAGGTCTGTCCTAAGCAGACTGGGAATCCTAATTCCTTGTAAGTGACAGAGTTAAAAGATGTGTTTGAAACCCTTTAACTGAAGTGCACTTGGGCTGATGTAAGGCCTTTATTCAAGAAGTGACCCACTCATTGGCATGCCACTCAATAAAATGGAATGAACTATAAATACATGCAACAACATGGATAGATCTCAATGTAATTAGTTGACTGAAAGAAGCCAGACAAAAAAAGAGTACATATTTAAAAGAGTCCATTTATATAAAACTAGAACATGCAAACTAATCTATGGTAACAGAAAGCAAATAAGTTGTTATTTGAGGATATGGGATGGGAGCAAGGAGATATAGAGGGAGGGATTACCAAGAGGCACCAGGAAATTTTGGGGATTGATGATGTATTCATTATTTTTATTGTGATGATGGTTTTACAGATACATGTTTATTTCAAAACTTACCAAATTGTATACTTTATGTTTTGTAGTTTAGTTAGTAGGGTCAGCAATACTCCAGTAAAGCAGTTCAGAAAAGTTTTTAAAAAGTGACTCATATGGTGCAGATCCTAACAAAAGTGAGATGACTGAGTTCTATTCTCACTAATGGGATTTCAGACAAAATTTTTGCCAATCTGTGATTTCACAGAACAAGACTTTTTGATACTACATGTCTTTTTTTTTTTTTTTTTTGAGACAGAGCCTCAAGCTATCCCCCTGGGTAGAGTGCCATGGCATTACAGCTCACAGCAACCTCCAACTCCTGGGCTCAAGCGAGTCTCCTGCCTCAGCCTCCCAAGTAGCTGGGACCACAGGCGCCCGCCACAACACCCAGCTATTTTTTGGTTGCAGCCATCATTGTTGTTTTTGGCGGGCCCAGGCTGGATTCGAACCTGCCACCTTAGGTGTATGTGGTTGGTGCCTTAGCTGCTTGAGCCACAGGCACTGAGCCAATACTACTTGTCTTGATGTCAATTAGCAGAAGTTTTTTCATACAGGTTTGCATGATAAATAGAGTATCTTTTTTTTTTTTTTTTTTTTTGAGACAAGAGTCTCATTTTGTTGCCCTTGGTAGTGTACCGTGGGGTCACAGCTCACAGCAACCTCAAACTCTTGGGTTCAAAGGATTCTCTTGCCTCAGCCTCTTGAGTAAATGGGACTGCAGTCACCTGCTACAAGGCCTGGCTACTTTTAGAGATGGGATCTCACTTTTACTCAGGTTGGTCTCGAACCTGTAAGGGCAGGCAATCTACCCACCTTGGCCTCCCAGAGTGCTAGGATTATAGGTGTGAACCCCTGCTCCCAGCCCTATAGTACCATTTCTAATGACAAGCTAGTCTATTGTCTTTCTCTACTGTAGTTTTACATACTTTTTTTTTTTTTTTTACCATTAAGTGCAATTCTGTCATGAACATACTTGTAACTAAACCTTTGTGAATATCCATGATTGCTTCCTGAGCTTCCAAAGATTACATGTCATACCCTAGAGTCAGATTGGCTGAGCACAGACTAGAACCTAGACCTACAATTGCTATTGACTCTCGTCAGTGTACTGTGTAGTCATTTCTTAGAGTAGTGCATGTATTGGTTTCCTCTGGCTGCCATAGCAAAATATCACAGACTGGGTGGCTTAAAAGGTTTTAGAGCCTGGAAGTCCAAGTTGGGGTGGCAGTGTGGGTGGGTTCTAATGAGGGCCCTCTTCCTGCTTGCGGATGTCCACTTTCTCACTGTGTTCTCTCATGAGGCAGAGAGAGAGGTCTCTGATATCCCTTCTCATAAGAACACATTAATGTTGTGATATCAAGACCCTACTCTGGACCCCTAAAACTTAATTACTTCTTTAAAAGCCTTATCTCCAAATAGAGTCACATTGGGGATTAGGGTTTCAGCAATGAGTTTTGTGAGAGACAAACATTCAGACCGTTGTAGTATGGGAAGCTAACTTCCACTTAAGTAGCTTATGTTAAGGGGTAGTGAAGAAGAATGTTGGTTCAGGTCTTCAGAATGTAGATTCTTGCCATTATAAACTGCATCCTCACTAAGTTATATACCTAGGGGGATAATTATACAGTAAGGCAGGAAACTATAGTTGAGTGTGGCAAGAATTTTGAGGTATGGTCAGGAAGGGGTTATCTTCAGAATAAATCTAGTAAGAACTAGTAAATAATTGGCCAGGTGTGGTGGCTAATTATGCCTGTAATCCTAGCACTCTAGGAGGCTGAGGCAGGTGGATTGCTTGAACTCAAGAGTTTGAGACCAGCCTGAGCAAGAATGAGACCATGTCTTTACTAAAATAGAAAAACTGGCTGGGCGTTGTGGGTAAGTAAGCCTCCTACTTGGGAGACTGAGGCAAGAAGATAGCTTGAACCCAGGAGTTTGAGGTTGCTGTGAACTATGATACTATGGT